TGTTTTATGAAAATGATAGTTTGTTTACCATCATAGGGTGATTGACACTGGGGACATTATACAGTCATATTTAAATTTGCTTTTAAATGCCCTGGTTGGTGTGACCCAGTGGTTGGAGTGTTGGCCTGTGCACCAAAGGGTCCTAGGTTTGATTCCTGGGTTGCGGTTACTATCCCCACCCTGTTGGGGTTGGGGGAGGCGCCCAATGGATGTCTCACATCAGTGTTTCTTTCCCTCACTCTTCCCCCCCTCCCTTCCACTCTATCTAAAAATCAATGGAAAAAATCCTCAGGTGAGAATAAATAAATAAATGAAAAAAATTTTTAAAGGGCATGATGATATATCTGTATAGATAAAATAAAGATTTGCATTACCTTCTGGGAGAACACCAGCCCTAGTAGAATAGCCAGGATTCAGAAAGAAAAGGTTTTGTTTATATTATGTAATACTCAGTATATTTATTTTTACCTCAGCTGGTTTACAAATGATGCCTTGGTATATTTAGATTATGAATCATTTTGTTTTGTAAACATGGGATCCCAGATTGGGTCAATGTGCATTCTTTGTAATCTCAAATGCTAGTTTAGTTTTACATGCTTTTATTTATTAAAAAAAAAAATGTTTTCTTTATTGATCTTTAGAGAGAGAGGAAGGAAGAGGGAGAGAGATAAAAACATCGATGAGAGAGAACATGGATTGGCCTCCTGCATACCCCCTACCGGGATCGGGCCCATAACCTGGGCATGTGCCCTGACTGGGAATCAAACTGGCGACCTCGGTGCATGGGTTGATGCTCAGCCACTGAGCCACAACCGGCCAGGCAGGTTTTACATTCTTTTACAACTAAGTGAAAGTAAAGGATATATTTGAAATTTATGAGAAAGACTTTTTCTGGGACATTTTATACAGTACTAATGACATCATACTGTTCTAGCCCATAAATCAATACCCACCCTACTGAACTCTTTACATGTAAATTATTCTCCCAAAGAAAAAATCTGAAACACGCTGATGGATAAAATATAATAGTAGATGGTCAATAAATTTTATTATATGTAAAGATTCTAAGAACAGATTTTGTTCCACTAGATAAGTATGTCCTCACACAAAATAATACCTGATAGTAATCATTTTTAAATACTGTGATAACTTCACATCAGTACAATATGACCATATAGCCCCTGCCACAGCCACCATGATGGTATTGTGATAAATTCACTATATTTACTGTATCTTTTTAAATTTACTTTTTTCCCTTTATTGATTTTAGAGAAAGAGGAAGGGAGAGATAGAAACATTGATGAGAGAGAACATCAACTAGCTGCCTCCTGCATGCCCCCCACTGGGGATTTGGCCCACAACCTGGGCATGTGCCCTGACGGGGAATCGAACCGGTGACCTGGTGCATGGGTCAGTGCTCAACCAGTGAGCCACACCAGCCAGGCTTATCTTCTTTATTAAACAAGAAAATTGATCTATTTAAGTCAAGGGTCTGTTTCTGCCGAATATGCTCCTATTATTCCTACAACCACCACAACAAAAAAACTCTTCACGGTGATTTTCAAAGGGAGTTTCATATATCACTGTAAGTCAAATAAGTTGGAGAAATAAGACAAGTTTTGTGAAATTAAGTATGGGCTTTACTACACTGCTCTAGATCTCAGATCTCGGCTTACTAGTCTCTTCTCAAAGCATCAGTGGGACTAGAAGATGGGGGCACCCTTTGTAACATTATTAGGTTAATTTGAGTAATTTGGCGATAAATCACTTGAAGAATGGAAGAAAAATACCTGAATCTGTGTTCTTGTAATTCTAGGTAATTAGTGTTTATTTTTAAAAAGCGGAAAATTGAGTCTAGCTTCATCTTTATCTTAAGTGGTCTTTTTTTTTAATCCTCACCCGAGGACATTTTTCCATTTTTTGTTCAGATAGAGCGGGAGGGAAAGAGAGCTAGAGAGAGAAAAAAACATTGACATGAAAGGGACACATCAAGTGGCTGCTTCCCGCACGACTGACCAACCAGGGCTGGGGACAAACTGCAACCAAGTTACATGCCCTTAGCGGGAACCGAACCTGGGTCTCTGGACCGCAGGCTGATGCCCTAACCGCTGAGTCAAACCGGCCAGGGCTTAAGTGGTCTTTATAGAGCAATATTTCTGAAGAGTAGCAAGATGAACAAAAAAATCACTTCTGAATACACAAAAGTAATTCCTAAGTTAAAATAGACTTGAAAGCATCTTTTCAAGTCCAATTTAACTTGACAAGTAATGTCAAATTGCCTTAGATATTTTAAATTTTTTGATTTGTAAAAACCATTAAATTACACTGCAAATATTTCACCAGGAAGTTTTTAATCATGTATTGTGAGCAGGTTGTCTGAGCAGTCAGCACTGTTGGTGGAGATGTAACTGAACTTCCTGGTCACTTTAATGATAAAAAACAAAACAAAACATGATAACACACATTACAGGAAGGTAACTATTGCATCTCACCTACTATGAAAGCAATAGAAACTTTTAAAGTTTAAAAATATGTTTCATACCAAAAATAATTTGTTTTAACATGACTTTTAAATTATAGGCCAAGGTAGTCTCCAATGTAAGGACCACTACACCTCTATAAGTAATTTACTGCCATAAAAGTTGGTTCTTGTTTCCTAGTTCATGTTGATTTTAATTTGTTTTCTATGTTTTCTTTTCTACTCCTTTGCTAAATTAAACCTGATTTTGAAATACTTGGTTTAATAGACGTATCAGTTCAAAGCCATCAAAGTAAAAGTAAAGCATGGGTTGCTGTAGACCAGGAAACAGGATAATAGGAATTATGTATGGTGCTCCCCAAGTTGTAAACCTGTTTTATGTACTACTCTTACTTGGCAACTGAGTCATGTGTTTACATTTTCCACTTACGCCAGAAAGGACTTAGGAGATTCTGCAGAATATATAAAACAGCACGGCAATGACATGGGTAAAGGAAAGTAGGGACATTACAGGATGAATGACTTGTGGAATGGAAAGTAAACACAGTGGGCCCTCGTTTATCGCGGTGGTCAGCCCAGGCTGCCTGATGAAGGACTTTGCCGGAGGGGATTCTGTCTTCACACAGTCGTCCCCGCCACTCGGCGCTGGGCGCTCCCCAACGCCACGGGCCCTCGGAAGCGGGCGGGGGGGGGGGGAGGCGGCGCTCCCCAACGCCACGGGCCCTGGGAAGCGGGCGGGGAGGGGGGCGGCGGCGCTCCCCAACGCCACGGGCCCTCGGAAGCGGGCGGGGGGGGGAGGCGGCGCTCCCCAACGCCACGGGCCCTGGGAAGCGGGCGGGGAGGGGGGAGGCGGCGCTCCCCAACGCCACGGGCCCTGGGAAGCGGGCGGGCGGGGGAGGCGGCGCTCCCCAACGCCACGGGCCCTGGGAAGCGGGCGGGGGGGGGGAGGCGGCGCTCCCCAACGCCACGGGCCCTGGGAAGCGGGCGGGGGGGGGGGAGGCGGCGCTCCCCAACGCCACGGGCCCTGGGAAGCGGGCGGGGGGCGGGGAGGCGGCGCTCCCCAACGCCACGGGCCCTGGGACGCGGGCGGGGGGGGGGCGGCGCTCCCCGACGCCACGGGCCCTGGGAAGCGGGCGGGGGGGGGGAGGCGGCGCTCCCCAACGCCACGGGCCCTGGGAAGCGGGCGGGGGGGGGAGGCGGCGCTCCCCAACGCCACGGGCCCTGGGAAGCGGGCGGGGGGGGGGGAGGCGGCGCTCCCCAACGCCACGGGCCCTGGGAAGCGGGCGGGGGGGGGGGAGGCGGCGCTCCCCAACGCCACGGGCCCTGGGAAGCGGGCGGGGGGGGGGGGAGGCGGCGCTCCCCAACGCCACGGGCCCTGGGAAGCGGGCGGGGGGGGGAGGCGGCGCTCCCCAACGCCACGGGCCCTGGGAAGCGGGCGGGGGGGGGAGGCGGCGCTCCCCAACGCCACGGGCCCTGGGAAGCGGGCGGGGGGGGGGGGCGGCGCTCCCCAACGCCACGGGCCCTGGGAAGCGGGCGGGGGGGGGGGGAGGCGGCGCTCCCCAACGCCACGGGCCCTGGGAAGCGGGCGGGGGGGGGGGAGGCGGCGCTCCCCAACGCCACGGGCCCTCGGAAGCGGGCGGGGGAGGGGGGCGGCGGCGCTCCCCAACGCCACGGGCCCTGGGAAGCGGGCGGGGGGGCCGGCGCCCAGCGCCGAGTGGCGCGGACGACTGTGTCACTCATGATTTGGTGACTGCCAGGGTTACGGGTGCCTGTTATGCGCCAGGTGCTTTTCTGGAGGTTTTAGTATCTGCTGAAGGGGTGCCCTCAAGGCGGAGGTGCTGGGAGGTCCAGGGGTGTCCCAGGTGTGGAAGCATTTCCACAGAGAAAGGCTGCTGCCTGATAGCTTACCCGCCCCGTCAGCAGCTGGCCTTCTTTAGGGGTGAAGGCAGCGGCTACCTCGTCTGCTCACTGGCGAGAGGCCGCCTGCTTCGCGGTCTCCCCAGGGGAGCCGCGCGTGGCGGGGACTAGGCGCCGCGCCGAGCTGGGGAGGATCTGGTGACGGCGGAGGCTCTGAGGTTTCTCATTTGCCAACGTCATAGGGCCTCTCGTGTCTTGAGTTTTCTATTATAAGGCCGAGCAGACGGACCAAAGAAGCTCTGCTAGTTTGTGAAATGTACATCTACCTACCCAAGAGCAAACAGGTTGCTTCCTTTTCGCTTTAAGGGGATCTAAGGAAAACCTTGTTTTCATCGAGTTGCCACCTTTCTTGGAGGGAACAGCTCGCACCGCCAAAATCGGCGCCTGCGCACTGCGAGCGCGGGCCTGGGTCGCGCGTGCTCGGGTCAGTGGGTGTGCGCACGCGCGCGCGCCGATCGGCCTGCCCGCCCGCTCCTCGCCCCACCGTCTCCAGGCGACTGCGCACGCGTGGCGGTGAGGAGACGCGCGAGCCCCTGGGGTCGGCTGTGCTTTCGCGGTGCGGTTAGGGCGAAGGGGCAGTGGACTGCGACCCGCGGAAGTCCGTGCAGGCTGGAGGGTGTGGGGAGGCCTGGCTGCAGCGGGGCGTCGCGCAGCGATGACGTGAGGCCCGGAAGCTGGTTACACGAGGGCAGGACTGGGCGTTCGTGATCGGGTCTCAGTGGACACAACTTGCACTACTTTCTTAGCAACTGGAGCGCTGTGGGAGGCGGGGTGAGTCCCTGAACGGAGACGGGAAGGAAGCGAGGGCGGCGGCGCTCCGGCGGCGGGGAAGGGCTTCTCGCAGTGAGCCGGTCGGGGCACCGGGCCCTGCCCGTCCTCGGCGCCTCCGCCTCCCCAGGTCGCTGGCAGGGACGGCGGGAGCGGTGCGACCCGACGCGGGGCGGGGCGGAAGGCTGGCTGTAAGCGGAGTGGACGCGGACACGGAAGAATTGCACATGCCTTTGCAGACTATATAGTTACGTTGAGTCAGGGACTGTTTAAAGGTACAGAAGGTGACCGTGCAGCCCACCCCTGCCGAGCTGCACGCCACAGCGCCCTGCTCGACTCGTGCTGTTCTTCCCCATCCTCTCCCCCGGCCTCCCTTCCGTCCCCCACCCCACCTGCGCAGCGCCTCTGACAGGCTCACTACCCCACCGCGGGAGAGCAGTTTCTCAGCCCCCTAGCGCTGTTGACATTTCGGGTCCCATGGTCCTTCCTTGTGGAGGGTTGTCCCATAAATTGCATGCAGTTCACCAGCTTCCCTGGCCTCTACCCACTAGATGTCAGCAGTACCCTCCGTAGTTATGACAACTAAAAATGCCTCCAGACTTTGCCAAACGTTCCCCTGTGGGGCAAATCTTACCTGGTTCTTCTGTGAGTGCTGCGAAAGGCTCACTGGCAGCTTCATAATATAGCACAGCACTTCCCGACTCTTGGACTTGAACGTCTGTTTCACAAACCCACTTGGAAAACTCTACATAATGATTAAGTAGTGACAAGTAAAAGAATAAGCACATTAAAACTACAGTTTGTTTAATTTAATCCTTAGTGATGTGTATTAAATAAGCATTTCAGTTTTTGTAATTAGTGATGCATTCTTGAACTCCCTCCAGTGATGTAGGAAGCAGTCAGTGATTGCTAATATTGGAGCCCCTACTCCAAACACCTGGAGAGGTGTTCCTCCATTAATCTTATTGTCCAGCATGTATTTCATTTTTATTGTTTATGGTCTGTCTCTATCTCATGAAAATGTGAGCTTCAAGAGGACAGGGACTTTGATTCCCATTGCCAAGACAGTGCCTACTACAAAGTAGTGCCTCAGTGAACAATTATCAAGTGAATGGATTTGATCGGTTTTAAAATAAACTACTTTTTTTTTTTTTTTATCCTCATCGAGGACATTTTTCTATTTTTTGTTCAGATAGAATGGGAGGGAGAGAGAGGAAGAGAGAGAGAGAAACATCGATGTGAAAGGGACACATCGAGTGGCTGCCACCCACACAAACAACCAGGCCCCGGGGACAAACTGCAACCGAGGTATGTGCCCTTAGCGGGAACCGAACCCAGGTCTCTGGACCGCAGGCTGACGCTCTAACCGCTAAGCCAAACAGGCCAGGGCAAAATAAACTTCTTTTTTAAAAAATATGTTTTCATTGACTTTTTTGGAGAGAGAAGGGAGAGAGAGAGAAACGTCGATGTGAGAGAGAAACATTGATCCACTGCTTCCTGCGTGCCCTACTGGGGATCAAGCTGGCAACCCAGGCATGTGCCCTGACCAGGAATCAAACCTGGACCTCTCAGTCCATGGGACGACGCTCAATCCACTTAGCCACACTGGCCAGGCTAAACTTTTTTTTTCAATCCTTCCAAGGATGTGTTGTTAATTGACTCTAGAGAGAGGAAAGAGGTAGGGGGAGAGAAAGAGAAACATCAATTGCCTACCCTATACACGCCAGTGGAGGATCAGGCTGGCAACATGGGCATGTACCCTGACCAAGAATCAAACCAGCAACCTTCTGGTGCATGGGAAGATGCTCAACCAGCTGAGCTACATGGGCCAGGGATAAATTTAATTATTTTTACAACAATGAACTGTTCTTTAGAATTCTTTGTTTTGTAGGTAGTCAACTGGTTTCTTTTTATGGTTTTCATGTTTTATTTCTAAATGGCTTGCTAACAGGTTTCAAGCTGCAATTTGGAAAGTGCTTCTTAGTATTAATAAAATAAAAATTCAGGTATTCCCGTCTACATCAACATATACATAAATGTGTGTGTATAGGAATGTATATGGAATCACACACACTTTGTCCTTCAGCTCTTCTAGGCTTATGCAGCTTTAGTCAGGAACAGCCTGTACACTTCAAATCTGCCAGGGGACACTGGATTTTAATAGTTGCCTGGTTCTTTTCCCAAATGAAAGGAACTTTCGATCCTGAAATATCAAACCAAATGAAACCTTCTAGTGGTTTGTAATTAGTTCGCTGTGCTGTCTCAGTCTCTCTCAGTTCAGCATGCACACACTGTAATTTGTGGAATTTCCACTTGGAAATGCTCCAGCCTAATAGCTCCTGGGATGCGTTCCTGGAAATTCTGATTTTTTCAGTAGATTAAAATGACTCATGTCTTTTTTTATTCTTTTTTTTTTTTTGGTAAATATTTTTTTCTTTTATTGATTTTAGAGAGAGAGAGGAAGGGAGAGAGATAGAAACATCGATGACAGAGAATATCGACTGGTTGCCTCCTGCACTGGGTATGTGGCCCACAACCTGGGCATGTGCCCTGACTGGGAATCAAACCAGCGACCTCTTGGTGTATGGGTTGATGCTCAACCACTGAGCCACACCGGCTGGGCTAAAATGACCCATTTCAATCCTTCAGTACTCTGGAGAGGGATTAATTGGAAGCCATTTCAGACACTTTTTACTTACAAAATCAAATCCACAGTTTTATTCTGATATGTAATACACATTTAAGAAATTATTGTGTGTATTCCTCTCCAAGCCCATCCCTCACTCCCAGGAGGAACCTCTATCATTAATCTTGCATTTTTTATTCACTTGCTTTTATCTACGTGTTTCAGAACTTCATGTAAGGGGACTCTTTTTTACTATATGTATTCTGTTCATTGTAACTTACATATTCTTGAGATGCAAGATGATGCCCTGGTGTGTCAGTAGTTAGTACATACCAGGTTTTGTTTATTGTAGGATCTTAGGTGGAAAGGCTGGCTTTTTTATTTTGAAAAGGGAACAAAGCAGCATCAAGAAGCATTCTCATTTTAAATAGCTTGTCTATCTTTTGGATATCCTCCTGTTGCCTGTGGTGGCTCAGGCCTGAGGCCAACACTGGACCAGATACACCCATATAGGTCTTGGAGTAGAAGGGAAAAACATGACAGAGCTCTTGAATAATTTTTGCTGACTTTCAACACATCACTTGCTATAAGATTTAGACACAATGTTTTAAACAAATAGGATGCTCTTCTTGTGCCCAGAATAACTTGATTTATAAATATATTTGGTTCCTGTGTAATAAGGAATTTGACCTCCCCCAAACAGGTTTGGCTTTTGACAGATAGACACTTTCCCAATAGAAATGGCTGTTATTCATGGAGGGCCCTCAGGCCATATCAGCCTAACCTCTGGGACTGGGACGGGAGCTGGAGGCTGACTTCAGCCACGTGGGCAGTAACTCAGTTTGTTCATGGTAATGCCATGAAGCCTCAATGCAAACTAGACACTGATATGCACATATGGATGCCAGAGGGTAGTGCCTGCTGAGGGCAGTGGGAGCTTCCTGCTCGGACCTTTCGGGACTCTGCATCTCTTTCTTACTGACTCTGATTTGTACCCTTTCCGTAATAACTATAAAATTACCCTTAGTTCTGTGAGGCTTTCTGGAAAATCACTGAAATGAGGGTAGTTTGGGGAGCCCCTGAACTTGCAGTTCTTGTCAGAAAGATTTGGGGCAGACATGGTATGTCTTCAGGGCTATACCTTAATTTTGCAGAAGTAATTGTGCCTGGCTATCAGTTCCTACAAAAACACCTTCCTTTTCTCTGTGTTTTACTTACTTCTTCTCTTTCTCCTAGTTGTCCCTTTTATTTTTCACATCTCTTCCTGTGCTCCTCTGTTTTTGTTTTTGTTTTTTTCCCTTTATTGATTATAGAGAGAGATGAAATGAGAGGGGGAGAGAGAGACAGAAACATTGATGAGAGAGAACATTGATCAGTTGGTCACCTCCTGCACACCCCCCAGTGGGGATCGGGCCCACAACCTGGGCATGTGTCCTGACCTGGAATCGAACCGGTGACCTCTTGGTGCATGGGTTGACACTCAACCACTGAGCCAAACTGGCCAGACCTTTGTTTTTTGTGGGTTGTTTTTTTTTTAAATCAGTACTTTGTTTATCCTATCAATAACACCCAGCAGCCTTAGATGACCTAAACAGTGATTTTCAAGTAGAAAAAGATTTCTGCTACAGGGAATTGACTGAAATGTCTGCATATGGCCACTGCAATACCAGAAGAAAGCAAAATGTCTTTAAAAATTTTGTTTAGCAAGGAATCATAAAAGTCTAAAAATCTCATTTGTAAAAACTGAATACTTTTAAAGGAAAACTGAATTTGTTAAACACTAGTGTAGTGGATGACCTCTGTAGATGTTTGATCTTATTTAAATATGAGTGTTTTCCTTTTTAACAAAACCTCACTTTCAGTTTGGATCTTTACTGTGAGATGAACATTTTAAAATTTTTATTTGATGGGAAGAGGTACCTTTACTTGTTTATTTGCATTTCATAGACAATTTGTGAGATGAGTGACTTGGAAGATGATGATGTCCCCCAGCTTTCTTCCCATGCCTTAGCAGCTCTCCAGGAGTTTTATGCTGAGCAGAAGCAACACACCAATCCATGTGGAGATGAAAAATACAGCGTTGGGAGAATAGAAGAGAATTGGGTGAGTAAATGCATTCCATATCTATCAGGAAATGGTGGTGTGGAATCTGTTCTGGACCTAGTTCAGTATTTGTCTGTATCTCACCTGATACCAAAGCTGTGTCACCTGTCATTTCGGAGCTGATGACCTATTTGGGAAACTAGGACAAAGAGCAGTCCAGGAATTAAAAAAAAATTTTTTTTTATGTTTTTTATTGATTTTTTTTTAGGGAGCTAGAGATAGAAACATGATGTGAGAGAGAAACATCAATCGGCTGTCTCCTGCACGCCCCCTACTGGGGGATCAAACCTGCAACCCGGGCATGTGCCCTGACTGGGAATCCAACCGGGACCTCTCAGTCCATGGGACAGTGCTCAATCCACTGAGCCACACTGGCTGGGTGAAAAAAAAATATTTTTTTAAAATCCTCACCTGAGGATACTTTTCCATTGATTTTCAGATAGAGTAGGAAGGTAGGAGGGAGAGAGAAGGAAAGAAAGAGAAAGAAAGAAAGAAACATCGATGTGAGGGAGACACATCGATCCGTTGCCTTCCCCACAACCCCAACCAGGGCTGGGGATGGAACCCTTGGCCAGAATTGAACCTGTCTTTAGTCTGCAGGCCAACACTCTAACTGCTAAGCCAAACCGGCCATGGCCTTCCCCCCCATCTGAGCAAAATATTGAAAAATGTCCTCGGGTAAGGATAAAAATAAATAAATAAATAAAAAATAAATAAAGATGCATCACTTAATAAAGCCAAATAAATCTTTAAAAAAAATTTTAAAGTAAGTAAAAAAAGATTTTTTGTCATTAACTTTTGGCATCTTAATTATGATGTGTCTTGGTGTGAGCCATTTGGGTTCATCTTGTTTGGGATTCTGTGCTTCCTGGACATGCTTGTCTTTTTCCTTCACCAGGTTAGGGAAGTTTTCAGTCATTATTTCTCAAATAGGTTCTCAATCCCTTGTTTGCCTTCTTCTCCTTCCGATACTCCTATGATGCAAATGTTGTTATACTTGATATTGTCCCAAGTGTCCACTGAACTATCCTCATTTAAAAAAATATATTTTTTTGTTTTTGCTACTTTTATAGGGTGTTTTCTCCTACCTTGTATTTCAAATTGTTGATTCGATTTTCTGCTTCATACTACCTACTGTGTATTCCTTCTAGAATAGTGATTTTTTTTTTGTCGTTAATCCTCACCCAAGGATATTTTTCTGTTGTTTTTTGTTGTTGTTTTTTTTAGACAGAGTTGAAGGGAGGATGGGAGAGAGAGAGAAAGAAACATCGATGAGAGAGAGAGAGAGAGAGAGACACATTTTTTATGGTTTCTAATGTCCTTTTTCATGCTTGCTATCTTTTGGTTGACGTTCACCAGAGTTCATTCTTTCTTCCCCAAAGTTTCTTGAGTGTTCTTATAACTATTGTTTTGAACTGTGTCTGGTAGATTGCTTGCCTCTATTTCATTTAGTTCTTTTTCTGGAGATTTCTCCTGTACTTTCATTTGGGGCATGTTTCTTTGTCTCCTTACTTTGGCTGCCTCTCTGTGGTTGTATGTGTGTGTGTGTGTATTAGGTAGATCTGCTGTCTCGATGGAGTTGCCTTATGTAGTAGGTGTCCTGTGGGGCCCTGTGGTGCAGTCTCCCTGATCATCTGACTGGGTGCTCCATAAATGTCCCTTGCTTGGCTTATGTGAGCCCTCCTGTTGTAGTTGAATCTTGATTGCTGTTGGTGTGTTCATGGGTGGAGTTGACCCTCAGGCTGGTTAACTGTGAAGATTAACCCCAACCACAGTGTACAAGCTATTATGCAGGGGGCTGACCCCATGAAGCAGAATTTATCCTAGTGGGGTCTGGGGCTTGCTGAGATTTTCCTGTGTGTATGCCTTTTGTGGAGCTAATTGGGTAGTGCTCTTTTGTGGTCTGAAGCCAGCTCCCGGGTGTGTTGGTTCTGAGGCCTCTTGGGAGAGACTCTGATGCCAGTCATTGTCAGATGCTGCCTGTGACCTAAGCTTCCTGTTTGGAGATACAAAGCAATCCATGGTTGGTGACTGCCTCTGGCTGGAACTGGGTGTGTGGGGCAGAGGCCAGCCCTTTTCATGTCTCCTCCCTTCTTACCAGTCTTGTTGTGGCTATGCTATAAATCCTTGCTTATAAGACTTCTCTTCAGCTAGTGTTCAGTTTGTTATTCAGATTTATTGTTCTATAATTTAGCTGTAATTCCAGTCTGGTCCTGGGAGTACTTAAGTGTGATTTCCACCTACTCCCCACCATCTTGGATCCCTGGCCTTCTGTTCATTTAAAGTAATTTCCAAAAATTTGGTTTTAAAAAGAAAAAGGAAAAAATTTAAATATATGCACAGGTTTAAATTAAAGGAACCACCCTGGCCAGTTTGGCTCAGTGGTTAGAGCATTGTGCTTTGGACCAAAGGGTCATAGGTTTGATTCTGGTCAAGGGCACGTGCCTGGGTTGCAGGTTTCCCTGGCCCAACCAGGGCTGTGCAGGAGGGAACCAACTGATGTGTCTCTGTCAACATCAATGTTTCTCTCTCTCTCTCTGTACCTCCCTCCTTTCCACTCTCTCTAAAAAAATCAATGGAAAAAATTAAAATAAAATGGATTACCTTTTAAAAATAAATTAAAGGAGTCCTGGCCAGTTTGGCTCAGCGGTTAGAGCATCGGCCTGCGGTCCGGAGAGACCCGGGTTCGGTTCCCGCTAAGGGCACGTACTTCGGTTGCAGTTTGTCCCCGGCCCTGGTTGGTCGTGCGGGTGGCAGCCACTCGATGTGTCCCTTCACGTCGATGTTTCTCTCTCTCTTCCTCTCCCTCCCTCCCACTCTATCTGTACAAAAAATGGAAAAATATCCCCGGGTGAGGATTAAATAAATAAATAAATAAAAGGAAACAAATATATGCTAATTCTAAACTGATTTGAACTCACCCCTCTGTTGCAGCAGTTGAGCCAGTTTTGGTACAGTGAGGAAACTGCTTTGCGGCTCGCCAGAGAAGTGATCGCAGCTGCTGGGGAAGGCGGAAGGTGAGATGCAGATCCTGTTTCTCTTTAGTTTTCATCTAAATGACTATTTTAAATGTCCTCCTAGATGAGAAATGGTTTGTAAGACGTCTGAATCATAATCTGAAATATTTGTAGTTCATGGTTTGTAGTATGAGTAAGAACTGTTGCAACCAAAGTTTAGAACACCCAGAAATGTACTCATTGCAGGGTTCTTATCTCTGTCCTTTATTCTTTTTTTTTTTTTTTGTACAGACAGAGTGGGAGGGAGAGAGAAGAGAGAGAGAGGGAAACATCGATGTGAAAGGGACACATCGAGTGGCTGCCACCCACACGACCAACCAGGGCCGGGGACAAACTGCAACCGAAGTACGTGCCCTTAGCGGGAACCGAACCCGGGTCTCTCCGGACCGCAGGTGGACGCTCTAACCGCTGAGCCAAACTGGCCAGGGCTCTCTGTCCTTTATTCTAACATTTGCTCCTGCTTCTTTCTTCTATACCCCTACAGTTTGCTTTAAGAGAAAAAAATCTTAATACTTATTGACGTTTTAAGAATGTAGGTTTTGCCCTGGCCGGATGGCTCAGCAGTTGGAGCATTGGCCTATGGACTGAAGTCAACTCCTGGTCAAGGGTACGTACCTGGGTTGCAAGGTTTCATTCTCAGCCCCAGATGGGGTTGTGAGGGAGGCAATCAATCAATGTATCTTTCTCATATTGATGTTTCTCTCCTCCTCAACTCTGTCTGAAGATAAAAATGGGGGGAAAAAGTATCCTTGGGTAAGGATTAAAAATAAAAAAGAATGTAAGTGTTTTTTTTTTTTAACTTGGTTTTTATTTTTATCAAAACTTTACATGCATAACATCCTGGCTGGTGGCTCAGTTGGTTTGGATTGTCCCATACACCAAAAGGTTGTGGTTCAATTCCTAGTCAGGGTACATACCTAGGTTGCAGTTCAGTCCCGAGTCAGGGCACTCACAGGAGACACCAGTCAGTGTTTCTCTATCGCTCTCTCCCTCTCTCTCTGTCACAGTCAATAAACATATCCCTGGGTGAAGATAAAATAGCACTAAACTCTACATGCATATAATTTAAAATCAAATGGTCCTAAAAGGCCATTTCCAAAAAAATACTCATTTCTAATTTTCCCCCTCGGCCCACTCCTCCCCTTTTCAGCCCCCTTTTATTCACATCCATATTTGTAAATAACATGTTTGTTGGCCCTTCTGGGGTTGTCACATTTGGACAGTGTTTCTTGACTTCTCACCAATGAGAATGAGGCTTAACTCTTTCGGACTTGACCATTTCCTCAAGTGCGTGCTTTCTGTCTAAGCTCCCAATACAGCCGTTTCCTGATTTGGGCTAGAACAGGGTCTATATTATGAGAACGTAATGTTCTCAACAGCTGAGCCTTTTACTTTTTCCTTACTGTAAAATTTGTCATTTTTCCTGAAGAAAAAAGCCTCCTTTTTTTTTTTTTTTTATCCTCACCCGAGGACATTTTTCCATTTTTTGTTCAGGTAGAGTGGGAGGGAGAGAGATGAACAGAGAGAGAGAGAGAAACATCCATGTGAAAGGAACACATCGAGTGGCTGCCACCCGCACAACCGACCAGGGCCGGGGACAAACTGCAACCAAGGTACATGCCCTTAGCGGGAACTGAACCCGGGTCTCTCAGGACCGCAGGCCGATGCTCTAACTGCTGAGCCAAACCGGCCAGGGCAAATCCTCCTATTTTTTATGATTGTGTCCATATCACTTATTAACCCTCATGTTCTCCCCCAGCTGTATATATATCCTGTCTATAAATGCAAAAATATCTCAACTTCTTGAAAAAAATCACCTCACGGCTTTATCCATCTGTTCTAAGCTGTACTGGTTGATTTCTAGCTTTACTACAACTCTTCTCTTAGTGTCTCCCTTCACCATCATGCTGAGGGTCCTTTTCCCTCTTTTATTCTGGGTTCCTAGTTTCCTGCACCACAGTTCTCAGTTTGCAGCCTTAATCTGGGTTGAGTCCATCCTTCAATAGCTTCCACAAAAAGATATGTGGAAGAGAAATTTTTAAAACTTTCATGTATGGAAATACCTTTATTCCATTCTTACTATCCATTGTAATAGTTTCGTTGGATATTTAATTCCAGGTTTTGAAGACATTGCTTCACGGCCTCCAAGTATCCACAGGCATTGTTGAGAAACCCTGGCTTCTGAGTTCTTGTAGGAAACCTGCTTTTGCCTTGCTCAGTGCAGATGGGATTCCCTCGCAATCGCCAGTGTTCTGTGTGTCGGTGGAGAGCACTACCCCCTTGTGCTGAGTGGGGTGGGGAGCCCTGCCATTCTCATTTCCTCCAGTTCGGGAAAATTGTCTTAGGTTATTTCTTTGATTTCTTCCCACTGTTTTTTTCTGTTCCTCTTTCTAGAACTTCCGTAAATCGAATGTTGGACCTGATCTACTTTTCTTTCTTTTTTTCCATCTATTGTCTTTTTTACCTTACTTTCTGGGAAAATTCCTCAACTTTATTTACTAAACTTTTGCTGGGTTTACCATTTCTGCTATCATATACACATAATCATTTATAGCTCTCTTTTGGGGTTTCTGAATATTTTTTATTTTTTATTGATTGATTTTTAGAAAGAGAGAAGGAAGGGGAGAAAGAGACATCAATTTTTTTGTTCCACTTATTTATGCATTCATCAGTTGTTCTAAACATTTCTTTATTATTGTATCTAATTCTTCCTTCTGAGGATATTAATTACAAGACCTCTTTTAAAAATTTCTTCTCCCCATATAGTCTGTTTACTCCAACATGCCTTTCTGTTCATTTATTTTGGTCTGTAATATTAGAAGTTTTCTTAAATGTCTGTTGACCTTCACTGTCTGCTCATGTCAGGTCTGAAAGCTGTGGCACGTGGCCGGGCTTGTCTGCTTGGTCTCTGCAGTTGGGTGACCTGGGTGAGCTGTTTCCTAGGGAACCCCCAGGTCACTCTGTCTGGGTCTTTCCCCCAAGGCTGGTCAGAGCTCTGGGAACAGTCTTCAAATTCCTCCCTGCAAGTTATGTGTGTCGTGACATCATCTTGGGGGCACATGGAGAGGGCTGGAGGGTCCAGCCCCCAGCAGGCTTAACTTAATCCTTGTCATTGCCACACACGTCACATTACCAGCTGTCCTGGCACCCCTGTGTCCCTCAATGCAGAGACCACCCGTCCAGCTCTCTGCCTGTTATGGAGGGGTGGGCACCTGGCAGCCTGGGACAGGGGGGAGAGTGCTGGGAAGGACTGTCTTGTTCCATGGGCCCGCTTCTTCTTTTTTTTTTTAATCCTCACCCGAGAACATTTTTGCATTTATCTTTTTAGATAGAGCAGGAGGGAGGGAGGGAGGAAGAGAGAGAGAAACATTGATGTGAGAGAGACACATCGAGTGGTTGCCACCAACACGACTCCAACCAGAGCTGGGGACAAACTGCAACCAAGGTACATGACCCTAGCGGGAACTTAACCCGAAGATCTGGTCCATGGGCCAACGCTCTAACCGCTGAGTCAAACCGGCAGGGCCAGCCTGCTTCTTGAGTTACCTGCTCTGCAGCATCCTGAGCCTTGGAGGGTGATGGACACAAGCTTCTCCTCAGCGTTACTGGCTGCCAGTTCAGGGTTTGATGTATTGGGTCTGCCAAGTCAGATACCACTCTCCACTGCATTCCAGCTTTCTGAGTGTTTTTTTTTTGTCTCTTCTCACATTCTCTTTCTTTTGTAGGCTTCAACAAGAGAAATTGTGGGCTTTCATGAGAATGCAGATCTACATGAACGGGTCCCATCCAGCACCTTTAACTGGACATCCCATGTTTCCCTTTCTCCTGTTCTTTTTCTTTTTAAATTGTATGTCGTTGTTTATTAGGTTTTTCTTAGTGACTGTTTTTACCTGTATTTTCTTTTTTCATTAGTGTGAGGGCTTTGGATGCAACTTCTCTTTCTGATCGGCGTGCTCAGTATTCTCAGGAGCTGTGTCATAATCTTACAGGAGAGTAAAATGGGAGTGTCTGCGGCACTTGCTGCTGTCCCTGCCCCCAGGTCAGCACTCTGTGAGGGCCACCTTGTTCAGTTCCCACACCTCTATGAGGTGGTTACTATTACATTCTTCATCCTAAACACAAGCAGAGGCTCAAGACATTCAGTCACTTGCACCAGGTGACTCAGGTGAGCTGCCCTCGGACCCCACCATTGTCCCCTAGGGTCACCATGCCCTGCTCCCTCCTTGCATTCCAGTCGCCTTTCTGCTGCCTGTGTACATCCTTCAGAATATTAGAGGATTCTGCTGGCCGCCTCTCAGGTTTATTGGTTTATTATGGGTCTGGTTGTTCCTTGTTATCTCAGACCAGTGAAAATGTCCTGGCTCCACACCCTTGCCCTTGCCTTCGCCTGTCTTCCGAACTCTGGCAGCAGCCTGGGCTGGGGCTCTGGTTGCCCCTGTCACCTAGACTGAGACATGTATGTTCCCACAGAAGCGTGTGTGACAGCACCTGGCTGTTTACACTTCAGGTGTGTTTGGGCCGAGCAGCCTGTGCAGCTGGCCTGGGCGCCTAACCTGCACGTGTTCAGAAACGAATCTCACAGGTGTAAAACTGAGCTTAATATTTAGATTGTAAAAGAAGTACTTTTTTTTTTCTGAACTTTTAATATTTCTTAAAGATCAAAAAGTCACACACTACTAGCTTAATGCTCACAGTAATCCTATCCAATATTTTCTAAATGATTTAAGAACAGAAAACCCCCACTCCCTGCAAGACTTCTATCACACATCACTCCATATTTATCACGTATCCTAACATATAAAACATTTCATTATCTAATTGAAACGATGTTTATTTTAAAAATCTCCTTCAAAGAGAAAACCACCACAAACACCTCAATATAATCAAATGGGTACTTGGAGTTTGACAACGAACCTGAACTTAACCCCTCTTCCCAAATTTAATGAGCCCTTAATGACAGCCAGCTATAACATGATACATCAACCAATGGAATAGTTACTATGTCCCAGGATCACTCAATACATACAGGTGTTTGGGTATAAGCTCTACTGGGTGCTGTCTATGAAAGGTAAGACCTCTCTGGATAGATACAGTCAGAAAGGCAATTAAATACCATTCCCTGCGGAAATACTTCAAAGGGGGAAGCTTTCAGCTTAGTTTCTGAATATATAATCAACTCATTAAGGCAGTGTCAGCCCCTCATTAGCACTCAACTCAGAGAATTTCTTGGCTGTCTCATGAAATAAGGGTTTTGATAACTCTTGTCAGGAGTGTAAAACAACTTTCCTTTCCTGATTTACTGGAGAAAGCCAGAAAATTTGACTTGTAAAGTAAGACAGGAATTGAATTGTGGATCCCGCTTCGTCTGGTTGCTGGCAGCAGCCAGTGTGTGACGAGGAGTCGTTCGGCCAGGCTCCGAGGAAAAGCAAAACCTGGGAGAGTTTTGGCAACAGTTGTAGCTGGAGACTGCAGCACTTTGCGAGAAAGCCTCATTCTTCCATCCGCTGGATCACGTCCAAAATATTTCACCTTGGGCTCTGGCAGAGGGAAGGCAGACTTGACTGGAACTGTGTGGGGACACTCGGGATTTGGAGGGTGCTCAGAGCTTTTGCTGAGTGCAGCCACTCAGGACTGTGGTCATCTTACTCCTTCCCAGGGCCCTGGGGAGAGGCGGGGGCCCCTCCCTCCAAGAAGTACTTTTTTGAATGATAATATATATGCGTGATGAAAATCTAAAAGTTATAAAGGGGATTAAGAAAAAGTCAGTCTCCTTCCTCATTACCTCCAGGCCCCTGGTTCTCCTCCCATGAGGTAGCCGTGGTCTCTGTCTCTTGTGCCTCTGAGCATATGTTCTCATTCATGAAAGCGTCTTTTTGCCCCATTTCCCTGGTGTGATGGCCACATAGTGTTCCATTGTAACAGAGGGACCACAGTCAACTCAGTAGTTCAGTATGTGTTACTTCTAGGTTTTTTAGCAGTTGGTGTTAAGTATTGGGACATTACCTACCCTTTCATAAACCGTAGGCTGCTGGTAATAATTTCCTCATAAAAAAAAGCAGCAGAGCCCTGGCCGGTTTGGCTCAGCGGTTAGAGCGTCCGCCTGCGGTCCGGAGAGACCTGGGTCTAGTTCCCGCTAAGGGCATGTACCTCGGTTGCAGTTTGTCCCCGGGCCTGGTTGGTCGTGCGGGTGGCAGCCACTCGATGTGTCCCTTTCACATCGATGTTTCCCTCTCTCTCTCTTCCTCTCTCTCCCTCCCACTCTGTCTGTACAAAAAATGGAAAAATGTCCTCAGATGAGGATTAAAAAAAAAAAAGCAGAAATTCAAAGTAACTTTTCCCCACTGAGACCTATAAATGTTCTTTATGGAAAACTGGAGTTACTAAAACAGTTATTTGGGGTTTTCCTTTCAAGATTATAAATATTGCAAAGTAACTTCAAAATATTTAGTTTAAGACTAAAAATATTTGATGTAAATATTAAAGGAACATGAAAATAGGTAAATTTAAATTTAGACTTTGAGTTACCTAACTTTGCCCTTATATGTGCCTAATGTTTTACATTTTTTACTCTATAAAGCACATTTATCCCTTTCATACCTTAAATTATGAATTGCAGGTGTGTACCCACCAGGTTCTTGAGAAGTGAGGCAGGCAGCTTCTCGGAGCGGACGCTGTCACACCAGGCGCAGCACTGCTGTCAGGACGGCCGAGCACAGGGTCGACGGTCCTCAGTGGGGCTGCCTGCGCCCGGCTGTCTGCCGGAGCTCAGCTGCATGTGCGCACTGTGTTTTCCAGGGTGGCCTGTGTGAGCACCCCCACTGTCTACCAGAAGCTGAGAGAGCTGCGCAGGGAGGACATGGCTGTGTGCGTCTTTGAGTACGACAGGAGATTCGCCGCTTACGGAGAGGAGTTTGTCTTCTACGATTACAGCAATCCCCTGGACTTACCTGAAAGCATCGCAGCTCATAGTTTTCACCTCGTCATCGCGGATCCCCCGTATCTTTCTGAGGAATGTCTCAGAAAAACATCAGAAACCATCAAGTACCTGACTCAGGGCAAGATCCTGCTGTGCACAGGTGAGGTGCCGGGCGCCGTCCCCGGGAGGGGTGGTGGTGGTCAAGCTGCAGAGGGTCTCCAGAGCTGTAAGAGATCTTAGAACTCAGGTCCGAAATCCACCAACCCACCACTTACTGTGTGACCTTAAACAGGTTATGTAACCTCTCTGTGCCCGTTTCCGCTGGCTGTCTCCCAGGGCTGTGGGGACTGAGCCTGACACACGCTGGGTGGGGCCCTGTCCCCAGCCAACAGATGCGGCCTCTGCCCCTGACGCTGTCTGTGGGCCCAGCGGGCCCAGCAGGCGGGTGCTGGGTCGGGTGTGTTGTGACAGCCGTGTTCCTTCTGGTGAGACTGATGCACACTATTTCCTTAAGGTGGATGTGCCGACGCTTGACCCCGAACTGAAATGTGACTGCCTCTGTAGTCTGGGCCGCCTGCTGTCCAGGCCCTGAGCTGCTGCCCCATTCCTGTGCCCAGCTGTGGCCACGCTTCTGCCCGGAGCCCGGGCTGAGCAGCAGAGCTGTTCTTCCAGCTGTCAGGCTGTGCACTTAGTCAGAGCTCTGTCCACTCAGAGCTGGGCCACCCTCTGTGCCAGCTGTCAGGCAGGTCTGGCCTCAAGAGCACAGGCGTGGTTTTGAGGGATAGGTTAAAAAATGTAACAACAGACAAAGAAATATGTGAAAGAATCAGAAAGGTGGGCTGGCAGAGTCAGGGGCTGTATCTCAGATCCATGGGCTTTCTGGGCTGAGCAGCATTGTGGCTTCAAGGGCAGTCAGGAGAGAGGCCCATACTGGTGCCAGTCAGAGTTGGCATTTTCTTTTTTATTTATTTATTTACTAATTTATTTATTTTTTAATCCTCACTTGAGGACATTTTTGCATTTATGTTCAGATAGAATGGGAGGGAGAGAGGGAGGAAGAGAGAGACACATCAAGTGGTTGCCACCTACACAACCCCAACCAGGCCGGTGACAAACTACAACCGAGGTACGTGCCCTTAGCGGGATCTGAACCCGGGACTCTCTGGTCCGCGGGCTGACACTCTAACTGCTGAGTCAAACCGGCCAGGGCATCTGCGTTTTCTTTTTAAGTGTCCATCCCCAAAGAGAAGGGATCCAACTTGTCTAAAGTAGTTCGCTTTAACTTTGTACTGAAAGGGCTCATGGGGGTGAGTGGACGGAGCGTGTGGACAGTCAGGTGCTGGCACAGGAGGGCAGGGTGGGGGAGATGCACTCGGAGATGAGGCTGAAAGAATGAGCTGTGATCTGCACATGGGAGGGCCCTGGGCTCCCACCTGGCAGTCCTTGCTGCCGCGGCCTGAGAACAGGTGCTTGGCGCCATCTAGGGTGCTGTCCAGGGGGTGCGCAGTGAAAGACAGGCACGGGTGAGGACGGGGCTGAGGGAGAAACTGGATTTGGCTGGTGTGAATATATTCCTATCAATTCGCAAGACTGGATGTTCATGAAAAGGGGATTCTTTTTTTTTTTTTTTTGTTAATCCTCACCTGAGGATAGTTTTCCATTGATTTTTCTTTTTTTGATATTTTGTTCAGATAGAGAGGGAGGGAGAGAGGGAGGAAGAGAGAAAAAAACATCAATGTGAAAGAGACATATCAAGGGGTTGCCACCCACAGGACCCCAACCCGTGCTGGGGACAAACTGCAACCGAGGTATGCAGTTTCGGTTCCCGCTCCGAACCTGGGACTCTCTGTTCCGTGGGCCAACACCCTAACCGCTCAGCCAAACTGGCCAGGGCTTGATTTATTTTTTTGGATGGAGATGGAGAGAGAAAGAAACAATGATGTGAGAGAGACACATCAATTGGTTGCCTCCTACACTACCCTGACCTGGGCTGGGGATCCAACCTGCAACCCGGGTATATGCCCTTGACCAGGGAATTATTATTTTTAAATTACCTGAGAATATATTCTTAATCACTTTAGAGAGAGAGGGGAAAGAGGAGAGAGAGAGAGAGAGAGAAACATTGATTGGTTGCCTCCCACATGCACCCAGCTGGGGTTAAACCTGCAACTTAGGTATGTGCCTTGACTGGAGGTCAAACCCGCAAACTTTGGTATACAGGACAATGCTCCAAACAACTGCGCCATCCAGCCAGGGCAACACCAGACTTTTTTTCTTTTTTTAATCTTCATCGGAGGATATTTTGCCATTTATCATCAGATAGAGTGGGAGGGGGTGAGGGAGAGAGAAACATTGATGTAAGAGAGACACGTTGACTGCTTGCCTCCTGCACCACCCAATCAGGTCCAGGGACAAAACCGTATCCGAGGTACGTGCTCTTGACCGGAGTTGAACCCGGGACTCATTGCTCCGCAGGCCAACATTCTAACTGCTGAGCCAGACTGGCCAGGGCACAACACCAGAGTTTAATAATTATTTTTGCTTTCCTTATGTTACTTTGTGGGATATAATCTGTTTCTAAAGCCTTAAGTATCTTAGCTTTGCAGAGACAAGAACACTATTAAATAAGGAAGAAAATAAGTAATTTACAAAAGTGTTGGAGAAAGTAAAAAGGGGTATGATGCACTGACCTCCACCCTCACTTGCTGAGCAGGATGGCCGCGTGGTGCCAGGGCCCAGGGTGCGTGGTTGTACTTGTCCTCAGGTGCATCTGGTCTGGCTCCTCAGGTGCCGTCATGGAGGAAGAGGCAGCGAAGCTTCTTGGAGTGAAGATGTGCAAGTTTATTCCAGAGCACACCCGGACCTTGGCGAACGAGTTCCGCTGTTATGTGAATTATGATTCTGGGCTAGACCGTGATGTGTGAATGCAGACAGTATATAATGCAGGAAAGGACCCTGTGTGACTTTATTGTCTTAGTAGATTGTGAAGCTGTGCCCCCCTTCCCTCCTCCACACTGGGCTCTTCCTGGCCTAATTCCCCAAATGAGGACATAGCTCCTTACTGAGGGCATCACAGAACTCGGGATTCTTTCCAACTTGAATTTGTGTAATTGTGGTTGGAAGAAATCTTAGAACCCATCTAACCTACTCTTCTCATTTCACATAGGTAAAAACACAAGTGTGAACAGCTCAGTGGCTTGGCCAATACCCGAATGGGACAGAACCTTGGCCTCTGCCTTGGACCCTGTGTCCCCCTAAAATGGGCTCGTTGTGACTCTGCCCATGGACCACTGAGTCTTCCTGCAGCCCTCTGGGAGGGTCATAGGGCTTGTGAGGAGCCCCTCCTTCACCCAAGCCCCTCAAGGAGACACGACTTGCCCCAGGAACCAGTGTCCTAGAGCCCCCTGGTTGTCTCCTGCTCTCCCGTTTCTTGGAGGACAGGGTTGCAGCCCAGGTGCCCTCCACCCACCTTAACCCAGCATCCCATTAGGGCTGCAGCAAACCTTCCACGGCGCCTGGAAGGGAAAGTGCCCTCTGGAAACAGACGCTGAAGCCAGCAGGCGTGAGGAGCGTGCAGACTCTTCTGTGGCCCCCGCAGGACCCACAGCCCAGGCAGAGCGCTCCTCAGCAGCACAAGGGGCACTGCCGCCCGCGCCGCCCGCACCTCGGGTGGATTCCCAGGGCATCGCGTCCCAAGGTGACACATTGCATTTCCATTTATGCAAGAATGTTGTGCAATGGAGACCAGAAGCTGGGGGGGGGGGCGGTCTTTGGGGTGCTAGGGCTGTTCTGAATCTTGATCCTGCAGTGGTGAGATAAGTCTGTACACATGACAGCATTTCACAGAGCTACACACACACACCCGGCACCCTGCTGAGGCTGGCAGCGTCTGTGTCACCTCCCCTACTGGCAGAGCTGCTGGGTCACACAGGACAGTGTCACTGGGGGCTGGGCGGAGGGTGCACAGGCCTTGAGTATTTTTGCAATTTTCTGTGAATCTACAATTATTTCAAAATAAAAACAAGTAACTTCCCTCTGGGGAAGGCTTTATAGACTCCCCACCTCACATGACTTACTTTAGCTAACAACACAAGGGGCGACACGTGTCACTTCCCGTCAGAACCTCCTTTTCCCTCTGACATAACCAGCCGCAGTCCGGACAAGCCACTGGGCTGAGTGGGTCCCTGGCGGAGCCTGACTGCAGCGGACCTGCCCCGGGTGGGGAGGGAGAAGTACACCTGCGGGGGGGAGAGGTCACTTGGAGCCTGGGACCTGCCCTGGGTGGGGACGGAGAAGGACACTCGGAGCCTGGAACCTGCCCCGGGTGGGGAGGGAGAAGGATACCTGCCCAGGGGGACACTCGGAGCCTGGGACTGCTTCGGGGCAGCAGCTCGGCAGAGCCACGGACCGGGTTGGGCAGGTGCAAGCTGCTCTGCTGTCTTAGCTCGCAGGTCACCCTTCGGATGGGCTATTTACGTAAAGATTGCTCAGTATTTTTATGAGATGTTTATATTTTTATCAGTCATCAGCACCTGAGACCTGAAGTGTTTGGTAAATGTTCTTTTAAAAAACAACCCCTGCCAAGGACTTCGGTCAAGAGGGCGAGTAGGTAAACGCGGTCTGGCCTCTCCCACAACCACATGGAAATGACATTTGAAACTACAGCACAACCATCATTCAGAACCGCCTGGCATCGAGCTGAATGGAAGTCCTACAACTACGACAGTAAAGAAGCCGCACTGAGATGGTAGGAGGGCAGAAGGGCTGGTCCCACACCCACGTGTGGTGGATAAAAATCAGGAGAGACCTTGGCTGTAAAACCAGCGGGAATGAGGCTGAAGGAGGCTGAGGCTGCAGGAGCCCCAGGCAGCTCCTCTCACAGGGCCCACACACGGATTTACTCAGACCCCCCTCCCTCTGGGCTCCAGTACAGGGGAGTCAGATTGAAAGGCTCCAAAGACATACAGGGAAGAACTGAGCTGTTTGGCAATGGAGCGAGGGCTGGAGAGGGGGCTTTCTTCGGGACAGATGTGCAGTCAGAGGCCTTTGTTCCTTTGGTGAGCCCTTGCCCGGGGTGGCAGACACCCGCCATATCTGGGACTCCAGCAACCTGGCTCACACTGTTTGCCCCGCCCTGCTGACTCCCTGAGGCCCCGCCCCACCCAACTTTTGGGCCCACCCAGACTGTTGCCAGTGGCAATCTAACAGATGCAGAGTTCAAAACACTGCTTATAAGGATGCTGAAGGAACTTAGTGAGGACCTCAAGAGCATAAAAAATGAAGGATGCACTAACTGAAATAAAGAATAGCTCTGGCTGGTTTGGTTCAGCAGGTAGAGCGTCGGCTTGCAGACCAAAGAGTCGAGGGTTTGATTCCAGCCAAGGGCATGTACCTTGGTTTCAGTTCGGTCCCCAGCCCTGGTCAGGGTTGTAGGGGAGGCAACCAATCATTGTGTCTCTCTCACATCAGTGTTTCTCTCTCCCTCCCACTCTATCTGAACATAAATGGAAAAAATATCCTCAGGTGCCCTGGCCGGTTTGGCTCAGCGGTTAGAGCGTCGGCCTGCGGTCTGGAGAGACCCGGGTTCGGTTCCCGCTAAGGGCATGTACCTCGGTTGCAGTTTGTCCCCGGCCCTGGTTGGTCGTGCGGGTGGCAGCCACTCGATGTGTTCCTTTCACATTGATGTTTCTCTCTCTCTGTTCCTCTCCCTCCCACTCTACCTGAACAAAAAATGGAAAAATATCCTCGGGTGAGGATAAAAAAATAAAAATAAAAATAAATCCTCAGGTGAGGATTAAAAAAAAAAAAAAAGAATAAATTACAGGGTATCAACAGTAGAGTAGGGGAAGCTGAGAAGCAAACCATCAATCTGGAATATAAGGAAGCAAAAAACACCCAATGAGAACAGCAAAAGAAAAAAGAATACAAAAAAATGAGGATAGTGTAAGGAGCCTCTGGGATAACTTCAAGAGACCAACATTGGCATCTTGGGCGTGCCAGAAGAAGAAGAGAGAAAACAAGAAATCGAAAACCTATTTGAAACAATAATGGCAGAAAACTTCCCTAACTTGGTGTAGGAAACAGACATACAAATCCAGGAAGCACAGAGAGTCCCAAACAAGACAAACCCCAAGAGGCCCACACCAAGACACAACATCAAAATGCAAAAGACTCAAGACAAAGAGAGAATCTTAAAAGCAGCAAGAGAAAAGCAGTTAGTTACCTTCAAAGGAGCTCCTGTAAGATTGTCAGCTAATTTCTCAAAAGAAATTTGCAGGCCAGAAAGGAGTAGCAAGAAATATTCAAAGTGATGAAAAGCAAGGACCTACAACCAAGATTATCCTGCAAAGCTGTCATTTTGAATTGATGGACATATAGTTTTCCAGACAAGAAAAAGCTAAAGGAGTTTATCATCACCAAACCGGTATTATATGAAATGTTGAAGGGTCTTCTTGAAGAAGAAAATAAAAAATATGAACAGTAAAATGGCAAATAAATTTATCAATGATTGAATCTACAAACAAAATGAACAAGCAGAAATAGAAAAAGACTCACAGATACAGAGAACATTTAGCTGGTTGCCAGATGGGAGGGGAATTGGGATGGGTGAAAAAGGTGGAGGGATTAAGAAGTACAAATTGGTTGTTAGACTGATGAACCTCAAAAGGAAGCAGAGAAGGAAGGCAGGAAGAGATAAACCAAAGAATTTATATGTATATATGAATAACCAATGGACCTAGACAGGAGGGGGGTGGTAGCGGGGAGAAGGGGGTCAAATGGGGAAAAGGGGGGACATCTGTAGTACAGTCAACCATGAAGTTAATAAAAAATAACCCCTATCATACTATTTCCTTAAAGAAGCAGTTTGCTAAAAATTCCCTAAGGAGGTAACATATCATGCGTAGAAATATAACATGTAATTTAGGAACTGTATGCAAGTAGCAGAATTTTAGTTGGTCTATAAATTTAGCATTTAAGATGAGAGAGCCCTGGCCAGTTTGGCTCAGCGGTTAGAGTATCGGCCTGCGGTCCCGAGAGACCCGGGTTCAGTTCCTGTTATGGGCACGTACCTCGGTTGCAGTTTGTCCCCGGCCCTGGTTGGTCGTGCAGGTGGCAGCCACTCGATGTGTCCCTTTCACATCGATGTTTCTCTCTCTCTCTCTCTCTTCCTCCCACTCTGCCTCAACAAAAAAATGGAAAAAATGTCCTCGGGTGAGGATAAAAAAAAAAAGAGAAACCTTATTTGTCCATGGGGGTAAGAGAGGGAAGGGGCAAAGCTTAACTCATGTAAAAATGTAATTACAGCCCAGCCGGTGTGGCTCAGTGGTTAAGTGTGGACCCATGCACCAAGAGGTTCGATTCCCGGTCAGGGCACATGCCCAGGTTGTGGGCCTGATCCCAGTGGGGGGCATGCAGGGTCTTCTTGAAGAAGAAAATAAAAAATATGAACAGTAAAATGGCAAATAAATTTATCTCAAATAAATCCATGTTCTCTCTCATCGATGTTTCCATTTCTCCCTCTCCCTTCTTCTCTCTCTAAAATCAATTTTAAAAATTAAAAAAAAGAAAAAAAGCTCCTGTGTCTTTACAAAACAAACACACAAAAACAGTTAAGTAGACGGATGTGCCCTCAGAGGGAAGCACAGAAAAAGGCAGCCTCACAGGTCTAAGGATGGAAAGCCAGTTCCTTCCACTGGGAATGTGCTGCCTTTTAACAAAGCACGTAAACTAACAACACAACTAATAAAATGGTGACGTGCCCCATCCGCACAGCTCCCCTCACCCGCTCTCGTGTGACTGTTCATGTCTGAGGGATGGCCGGATGAAGGTGCACAGCAGTGGTGACTGAAACCACCCAGAGCACCAGTCTGAAAAACAGTTTTTCTTTTTAAACTGGATTTTTAAAAAAACAAAACTTTATTGATCTTTAAAAAAAGAGAGGAGGGGAGGGGAGAGAAACATCGATTTGTTGTTCCACTTATTCATACAGTCATTGGTTGTTTCTTTTATGTATCCTGAGGATTGAACCCACAACCTTAGGGTATTGGGACACTCTAACCAACTGAAGTACCCAGCCAGGGCTTTGGATTTCTGTTGTTTTTATCTGAACTGGCAACAAAAGGTTGCTCTGCATCTTCGTGTCTGGAAAAGTGTTCTAGATGCACCACCACTAGGGCTACCTTTAAAAAATTCCCACACTGTACAGAGAGCTGTCCACAGCTACTTGGAAAATCCAGATGCTGCTCAGCAATGTGTTTCCATGCACAACTTCTATTAACAGATGGTAAACATTGCAAGTCCTCTCAGTGAACCTTGCATCCAAGTCAAAGGGAGGCTGACGGAGACACGGGAGCTGAAGAGGTTTCCATCTGTGACAGCTGACACCTGGAGTGAACATAAAGAAAGGGCACTTCTCGCCCTGGCCAGTTTGGCTCAGCAGTTAGGGCCCTTGGACTGAAGGGCTGCTTGTTCAATTCTGGTCAAGGGCACGGTACCTGGGTTGCAAGTTCAATCCCTAGCCCTGGATGGGGTCGTATGGGAGGCAACCAATCGATGTGTCTCTTTCATGTGTCTCTTTCACCTTGATGTTTCTCTCTCCTTCCCTCCTTGCTACTCTCTCTCACAATCAATGGGAAAATATCCTCGGGTGAAGATTAATACTAAAAGGGAGGGGTACCTCTTAGCTTGGGTGGGGTGTCACAGAAGAGCAGAGATTGACTTTACATGACTACCTGATCTAAGACCAAATCAAATCTTAAATTTCTACCATAAAATTAAGATAAAGTGAAGACTTTAATATACATATTGTTTTCTCTAAAACTCATGCCCTGGTTTGGCGCAGTGGTTAGAATTTCAGCCTGCAGATTGAGGGGTCTCTTCAAGGGCATGTATCTGGGTGGCAAGTTTGATCCTTGGCCCTGGTCAGTCGTGTGGGAGGCAACCAGTCGATGTGTCTCTCTCACATCGATGTTTCTCTCTTTCCTCCCTCCCTCCTTCCCTTCCACTAAAATATCTAAAAAAAACAATGGAAAAAATATCCTTGGCCCTGGCTGGTTTGGCTCAGTGGTTAGAACTCTGGCCCAAGGACCAATGAGTCATGGGTTTGATTCTGGTCAAGGGCATGTACCTCGGTTGCGGTTCATCCCTGGCCCTGGTTGTGTCCCTCTCACATGGATGTTTCTCTCCTTCCCTCCCTCTGCATCTGAAGATAAATAGAAAAATATCCTTGGGTGAGGATTAACAACATAAAACTCAGTTGAGCCCATCAGAGAGACATACACACAAGCAACATACTTTCACCAACGTTTTAATGATTTAAAAAGAACTCACTTTTACAAATCATTGTGTTCAGGGACAGACTTCCAACCTAAGGAAGAGTAAGGGCTCAGCTCATTGCAGTGTGTAGAAAAAGAGGCTTGACACTGCTTTCTGGAAATGGTTACATTAGCTCACTTTCCCCTCCTCCTTTGTGGCTAGTTCCAGAAGCCCTTAAAACACCCAAGAGTTGGGGTTTTTTTTTGGGAGTTGGCAAAGATGTCACATTCCACCTGTCACCTTTATCTCACCACCTCTTACCCACAAGTTGGCCCCACTGACTGAAAAGTGAAAAAAAATTTAATTGAGTAAACCTGCAGCCATTGATATACTGGTAAATACACCCAAGTTTAGGATTTCTGGGATGCTTCTGGGCTGACCAGCCTGCTACACTGCTCTCCTCTATCCCTGCGGCTACCAGGTGGCTGGGCACGCCCGGGCCAGCCCTGTCCGTCTGGTGGTGCCAGCAATAGGGACAGGCTGATTTCCGAGACGGGCCACAGCACCCACTGAAAGGGGTTTATCTGAGGATTCCAACTGTGCATTTAAAACCTAGCAAAGAAAGGAAAAACAAGGTCTTATAAAAAAAAAAAGTACATGTGCAAGTAAAATTTTTTAATGTAATTGTTCAAAATCGCTAATATAAAAATTTCTGCTGCTAATTCAAATAAGCAGGTATATATTTTTTTAAAAGGATGTTTCAAAAAGCGTCTACCACCTACCTACGTGCGGGCTTTGGCCTGCGTGTCCCAGCAGCACGCACAGGCTGGGCGGTGGGCCCGGCTGCGGCCTCAGGCCTGGATGGCCGTCCTGTCCCGCGGCCGGATCCCTACACTAGGCACCTCCTGCCTCCCGCCCAGCAGAAGCCGGGGCCGCGGGAGAGGTTCCCCCGAGGGTGGCCCGGGCGAGAAGACCTGCCCAGGTCACTGTCCTGCTCCCGAACGGGAGGGCCTGCGCAGGTCTCGGTCCCGCTCCTGGTGACCTGGGTCCCGGTTCCGCTCTTTTCCGTCGCGGTCTGCTCCGGAGACGGCGGGCGCGTCGCGGTCGGGCGCGGGGACGCAGGTGCAGCCCACGGGCACCGCCACGTACTCCTCCGCGTAGACGGAGCGGCCCCCCGCGCAGCCTGGCGTGCGGCGCAGCACGACCGTGGGCAGCAGCACCGGGGCGCTGCGCAGGCTCAGGTCCTCCTCTCCGCGCGGCCCGGTGAGGCAGCCGCGGCACAGGCAGTAGGCCTCCGGCAGGAGCCGAGGGTAGCGCGTGGGGTCGTAGGACAGCCTGCGGGGAGAGCCGCGTCAGTGAGCGCTGGGCCAGGGCCTTGGAGACCAGTGACCCGCTGGGGTCAGTGGGAACTTGGGCTCGCAGGAACTAGGACGGGTGCAGTGCGCAGGGGTCGGGGTGCCCGGCTCAGGCAGCGCTGGGCAGTGCGCCGGGTTGGTGCGCGCTCCTCCGGTGCACTCAGGTCACTGCGCACCGGGCCAGAGGCCGGGGCTTCAGTGTAGGGGTGTGGAAGGGGTGCCGCCTGTGCAGTGAGCGGCCTAAGGTGTACTAGGAAGTGCTGAGGTCACCGCTCACAGGGAGCAGGAAGGTTAGCCGGACACTTTAACCCAGGTAGTGTCAATGGGAGGCCCAGATGACAAGGACAGACTTTATAGTTGTTCTCAGGCCATTCCCTAAAATGCTATCAGACTCTGCACCAATACCTCTAAAAAAATAACACCTCTACACTGTGCATGTGCACCGACAGGTGACCACATAGCCACTGGAGTGTGATCAGACACCCGCCCTGAGCCAGGACCCCAACTCCAGCTCTGAGGGGGAGGACTGCCTCTGCTCCAGCCCACCAGGCTCTGCAACTCCGAAAAGGCCAGGGCTGCCAGGGCACTGCCCACAGTGGTCCCCAGGGCAGGTGGCGCTGCATGGAACTAGCTGGCTTGGGCGCCAGACCACGCAGACACCAATAACCTGGCCACTGAGACGGCCACGAGCAACAGCAGCTCTGAGACACCTGTCCAGAAGGCCACAGGTGAGCCCTGTGTCCATCTGTCAGGGTTCATGTGCCCTCCTCCCTGAAGGAGTCAGTCACACCACAGGACGGCAGGCCTGGCTAGTCTGGGACATTTGAAAAGTGCACAAAGGTTTAAACTTGGTGATCTTCACCCTCATCCAGGACTCCTGATTTTCAGGCCAGATGCCAAGGACCACCTGCCAGACACCTACAAACAGCCCGGCTGCCATGCTGGGAGGCTCTGGCCCTCTCTGGACCCTGTGGCTCTGTAGGGGAAGCAGGAGAACCCCAGGTTCCACTCTGCCCTCTGCCACCCCCTCCCCTAAGCAAGGAAGTCATTAATGGGGACCTAGGAGTCCTTCCTAATGTCTCTTTGCAGAGGGTGGGATTGTCCCCATGTCTCATGGGATCACCAAAACTCCAAATTCTCATTTCCATTAATCTTCCCATTTAAAACTTGTGTAATGCCCTGGCTGGTTTGGCTTTGTGGTTAGAGCATCAGCATGCGGACCAAAAGTCGAGGAGGGTTCAATTCTAGCCAAGGGCACATGCCTCGGTTGCAGTTCGTCCCTGACCCCTCTGGGTCTGTGGGGGTGGCAACCAATCAATGTGTCTCTCTCATGTTGATGTTTTTCTCTCTCTCTCTTCCCCTGATGTTTGTCTCTCTCTCTCTCCCTCTCTCCAGCTCTATCTGAAGATAAATGTAAAAATATCCTCGGGTGAGGATTAATAATCACACACACACACAAAAAAAACTTTGCATAATCCTCTTATGAATGTTTGTCTTTCTTCTGGAGCTGAGTGTTAGGGGATACTAACATTTCAGAATCATAGTTCCAACTTCTCCAACCTCTCAAGCAACACACCTACCACGTGCCAGTCCAGGAAAGCCCCCAAAATGCTGACCAATAGAAGCCTGAAGTAAATGGGAAAAATGATCGGTGCTTAAAGGTTTCTGAACCTAGACCTTGAGGTACGTAGGGTTTCTCCTCCATTCCTCTTCCTGAGTGCTCCCAACAGCCGTGAGCTACAGCACGGCTGGCGCCCCAGGGAGGGCCTGGCCAGCTTCCTGACCCCTGTGACTTGCATAAGTCATAGGTCCTTGAAGTGACAGGTTCTGTGGACTAGTCCTCACTGCTAATGACTAAAACGTACCAACCAGGTTGAGAGGTTTCCAGTCAAGAAATATCCTGGGCTCATCTGGTGAAAGTGGGCAAGGGGGGCAGGAGCAGCAGGGCGCGGGGGCAGGGCGGGAGAGGGTAGCTGGGGCTATTGCAGGAGAAGTGCCCCTGGACAGCTAAGGAGGGTCGCGAGTCCTCCTTCCCCTTTCCCACATCTTCAGACACTGGTGGCCAGGGTGGCCGGGCAGAGAAGAGTCTAGAAACAGCATCTTCACGCCTCGACAAATTCACTCCACGCCAACTACGTGCCATTACACAGTGGGAAAGAGCTAAGACGGTTTTGCCTACAGGAAGGCACTGTGTGGGCGTCCACGTCCCAGAGGTGGGTAACACCTGGTACACGTGGCAGGGCAGCTGCTGGCAGGATGCCCTGCAGAGGGCCACGGCTCAGCTGCAGGGCCACGCCCAGCCTGCCACGGAGCATCCACAGCTGAGAGGCACATCTCCTGTTTGAGTCAGTGGGGATTCCAAGACTCCCTCTTGGGGTGACCAGAAGGATGAGGGGAGCAATGGGGAGCAAGGAGGCCTCAGGCACAGGGGACCCTGCTGGTGGTGCCCACACAGGCACATGCCCAAACTTGCCTTATCGCTGCACTAGGGGAAGGAGCAGACTCAGCCTGTGACCACTCACACATCTCGTGAGGACCAGCAGGCACAGGGGCTGTCGCAAAGCGCATGTGTCTCTGCCGCCAAGACCCCTACACTCACGGGCTCCACTCCTTCACTCCCGACAGGCACACAGATGGCTGGAGTCATGACTCTTCCCTCAGGACTGCCCGCCAGGCTTCCGTAGCATTGTGAGCTCTGTCCTGTGAGGGCAGACAAGGCCCACCTCCGCCTTGCCAACACTCCCACATCCCCTGCCATGCCTCATTCCTGCCCAGCTGGGGTGCCGCGGCGCCGGCTGGGGTGCACCATGAGAGTCCAGAGTCCTCTGCTCTGCCTTCAGAGGCCCACACAGCGTGGTCCCTCCTGGTCCCCACCACCTCTGCGTCTTCCCTCTGTGCACCTGCCCCTGGCCTCCTCCAGTGGGACGTGCCCTGCGTGGGCTGCAGCTGAGCTCTGCTCGGGGTGCCCCTTCCCAAACCAGTGTCAACTGAGTGAAGACCCACCTTACTTAAGGTTCAATTCAAGCCAATATCTTAACGAGTTTTGTCCTTAGGACTTGTCTGCTCTTCCCCACCTGCTCGTAACACTTGGGCTTCTGAGAGAGAGATGGCGACTGATGGTGGCTTCCTGTCCTTCTCACCGGCTTCAGAGCAAGACCTCAGTGAGCGCACGAAGGACAGGGAGTCCCTGCAATGTCCATCACTTCCAACGTCTCCTCCACAACCATGTGAGCGCCAGTGACGCTCCAGGCACTGTGTCGGCGAGGCGTGTCTACTCTCCAGGGACACCGGGACAGCTGGCTGCGTGGCAGCCAGGGCCTCCTGGGCACGGCTGTCCCAGGAAGCAAGGGAACAGGGCGGTTAGGGCTGACCTGGAGGCCGGACCAGCAAGGTCTTCATTCACAGCAGGGAACTTGGATTTAACCCTGGAGGTCCTGGGAAGAGTGGCAGAGGGAAGTGACCTGGTCAGAGAGGAGTAGGGAACCCCTCGGACACTGGGAGGGAAGATGATCAGAGAGGTGTTGGTGGAAGGCAGGGGTTTTCAATGCATTCATGTATAGAGGGTGGTTCGGGCAGTGTGTGGTGACATCCAAGTAAAAGGCAGGAAAACCAACTTTAAGGGAGACACAGGGGCAGCAGGGCCTCCCTAGAGCCAAGAAGGGCAGAGGCTTGAGAAGACACTAGTCCGAAACCCAGCTGGAATCTGATTTAGCCAAATTACTGTTGCTACAGGTACGAGAACACAGTCAACAGTACTATGAGGATCTGACCAACGACACGTAGCATGTAGAAAACTCAGCAGGCGTTTCAGTCCAAAGGGAAACTATCAACAAAATGAAAAGCAGCTATTGAATGGGAGAGACCTGCAAATCATATGTCTGATACGTGGTTGATATCCAAAATATATAAAGAACTCACACAACTCAATAGCAGAAAAAAAGCACAATTTTTAAAACGGTTTGAGGAACTGAATGCATGTTTTTCCAAAGAGGTCAACCGGTACATGACAAGAGCTCAACGTCACTAATCATCAGAGATGCAAACCAAAACCACAGAGATGTCACCTCACACCTGTCAGAACAGCTGCCATTAAAACGCCAACAAGCCCTGGTTTGGCTCAGCAGTTAGAGCGTTGGCCCTCAGACCAAAGGGTCACAGGTTCGATTCCTGGTCAAGGGCATATACCTGGGTTGCAGGTTCGACCCCCAACTGAGCCTGTGCAGGAGGCAACCAATCAATGTGTCTTTCTCACATCAATATTTCCCTCCCTCCCTCCCTTCCACTCTATCTGAAAATCAATGGGAAACACCTTCGGGTGAGGATTAACCACCACAACAAGCCAGCAAACAACAAGTGCTGGCCGAGGAGTGGAGAACGGGGCCCTGTGCACTGTGGGGATTGCACAATGGTGCAGCTACTGTGGAAGATAGTATGGGGCTCCCGAAAAATAGAAAATGAAACTGCCAGATGACCCAGGGATTCCACTTCTGGGTATTTATGTAAAGGGAAAAAAAAAAATTTGAAAAGATCTGTGCACCCTTACATTAACTGCAGCGTTATTTACAGTAGCCAAGATGTGGAAACAACCCAAGCGCCCACTGGATAAAGCTGTGATACTGTACACAATGGAACACTACTTTGCCAAGGAGAGAAATCTTGCCATTTGCAACAACACAGATAGACCTGGACTTTACTGGGCTCAGTGAAATAAGTTAGTCAGAGAAAGACAAGTACCATACTATTTCACTTATAAGTGCATCTGAAAAAAAACACAAAAACCCACTCTGGCCGGTTTGGCTCAGCATCGGCCTGCAGACCAGAGAGTCCCGGGTTTGGTTCTCGATAAGGGCACGTACCTCAGTTGCAGTTTGTCCTCTCCCCGGTTGAGGTCGTGTGGGTGGCAACCAGTTGATGTGTCTCTCTCACATCAATGTCTCTCTCTCTCTCTTCCTCCCTCTCTCCTTCCCACTCTATCTGAAG